ATCAACCCGTAGATATGGCAGTTGCACAATGAAATAGATTCAAATATCGCGTCTCTTCACTCCAAGCACGCATTCAAGAGGTTTCCTTAAAAAACCCTCAAGGGTTTCCATCTACGCAAAAGTACACGCATGTCATCAGATTTCCCATTGTTCCATGGCGTGTACGAGAAGCGCGACTATGACTCACCTTCTGGTCCTCCTCAACTGGGACAAACTCATATCTCCGGAACACCGAGGCAATGATCATCAAAAGTTCCATCATCGCTAGATTCTTGCCGACACACGCCCTGTTGGTCACATCAGCTGAAGCCCCATACACCGGTGAAAGAAAGAACAGAACATACCGTGGTCCCCACGAGAACGGGTTGAATGTTTTCTGCATCTTCTCCTCATCTCCTTCGAACCACCTCTCGGGTCTGTAAAGTGGAATATATATCGATAAGCCAGAACAATACCTGAGAGCTGATTCACAAAACTCACCTATACTCATCAACATCCTCGCCCCAAACATCCCTATCACGATGAATCGAGTAACTCGGAACACTAAGGATACTACCCTCCTTGTAAAACCTCCCCATAACCGTTAACCCACCAGCCGGAACGATCCTCGGCAATCCGATCCCACTGCCATGCAACAATAATAACAATAATAATGCCAATCAGTCGCATCATCCACTCCGCCACGAGAGACCGAAAAAAAATAAAACCACATACCTTGTCGAGTGCATTCTTAGCCCTTCTTGGATACATGCCTGCAAGTAAGGCAGCGCCTTGATAGCATCGTACGGCGCAACGTCCGACTTGAGCTCAGAGACCGTTGCCTCCAGACCCACATTAGGACAAATAGGGTGTCCGAGCGCTTCATCCAATTCCGCCTGCAACTTCTTCTGAGCCTCAGGATGAGTGGCAAGGAAGTACGTTATAGCGCATGATGAACTGAATTATTATCGGTGAAAGTGAGAAGGAGCTTCCGAGCGATGAAGTCGAAAAGACATACTTAGAGGTGGTATCGCTCCCCGCAATGAGCTGAGTCTGAGCTTCAGCCGTAAGCTCCGCGCGGCCCATAGGATTCCCATTAACATCTTTCCCCTTCTGAAGCTTGGAAAGAAGATCGTTCCTGTCACTTGGTTCCGAAAGACGTTTCCCTACGGCTGCCACAGCAATCTGACGAAATTTTGGAAATGAGTTCGAGTTATAGAGTCCATGGGGGAGTAAACTCACACCAGCAAGACTCTTCACCGCCTGAGTTCCGCGCTTGAACCACGGGAATTGCTTCACAATCGGCCTACGCCCCCCCCAAAAAAGCCAATCAATGAACCAATTCGAACTACTTCTTAACACGCCCTCCCACTCACCTGAAGACAGGAGGGATAACCCCCAAACTAGCACTATAATTCCCCCTATCGTTCAAAATCTGGATCGCAGGTAGGTAAACCGTCTTGTCGGGCGTATCACCAGGCATCAACACAGCCGCTTCGTCCTTCTCGGCTTGAAGCATTCCAAAGGGCGAACCGAAAGCGAGATCGCCAATGATATCGAATGCGAGGTAGTTGAACCCTATATATTGCGCCATAAATTTCATCAGCAAATGACCAATTCACAATCCTCATGCTCGTGAGAAGAGGGGAAGGCTCACATTTGAGAGCATCAAACCAAACTCGTCCACCTTCGGCATACGTTCCTTCTTTAAGGGGCACAACCTTCTTCCCCTCACCACTCTTCCCATTGCCGATCCCACCCTGGTTCAAATCGAACTCCTGCTTAACCTGCTCATGATCCTTGCACGCCTCCGCTTCGCCCGTCATCGAATCCCACTTCACCATCATCAGCGCAATCAAGTTTTGAATGTAGGGTTCGAATTCGAGGACGTTCTTCTGCGAGAAGATACTTGAGACTATTTTGCGTTTGCGAGTCTGTTCAGGTAGAGGGAGATTGTTAGAGTTACGAATAAAAATGGATGGGAAGGATAGAAAAGGATCACGTACGTGCTCCGCACGATCACGCGTGTTGAAAAGTCCCTATAAATGATGCAAATTCATCAGCAATGAGGTCGAACTATCGAAAAAAATCGAGGGAGAGTGGAGAGAAACACGTACTCGGTGCAATGAAACGAATGCATCGTAAAAGTCGGATTTCAAACTATATTGAAAAACAGGGGATTAGCAGTGCATCATCTTGAAAACCGAAAAAAAAAATACTAACCTTCCATTACCATGCTAACAGTTGTGAAAAAGAAAGAAAGGAAAGGAAAAAATCAGTACTCATTCTCCAACTACCACCGCCAAAACTGATGACTAGTAATGGCGTAGCGAGAAAGTGCGAAAGAGGGGGGGAAATACAGAGCATCATCTACTCACCGCATAAACGATCTGAAGTGCCTCCGGGTCCGCAATGGATATGTGGTTCGGAGCAATACGAACCACTTTGCCTATATGAATTTGGAAAAACCCCGGGGACGCATAGAGACATGAAGACATAATGAAAGGGCCCAACCCCCCGCGGCAATTCAATGCGTGATCATTGGGGACAGAGGGCGGGGCGTGGGGCGTGGGGTGTGGGGTACATCGATAACCATTACACGAATATTTCATTTCCGTCCAACGCGCGAAGCAAAAGGTTTTGGATGGGAGGATTGGGTTGTCCAAAGCGGTTTGAATCCCCAAAATGGCGATTGGACCAGAGATGGTCGTTAGGTTCAAAATCGAAGGGGAACCAAATCCGCGTCGCAGGCGGAGGCAACAGCAAGTAGAATGGCAAGAGGTCGAACGTGTAGGAATCCACGAGTCCGTGAATCGCGCAAACAACGAATGCGACGGAGTATGGGAAAAGTTGTTAATGTCCGGGAAATGAAAGGAAGGGCGAGATGAAAATGTTGGTACGATATGTGGAAAAGGGTGTATTGCGTTTGCATTTTCACGAGACGCGGTCGGTCGTGTGAAATAGGGGAAGAAAAAAAAGTTGCACGCAAATCATCAGTAAAATGCATAACCTGTGTTGACGGAAATTTGAAAAAGAAAAAAACGCACCGTACTTCTGGTGTAACTTGTGGATTCGGCCCGAACGATCTCCCAGTGCAGCTTTGCGAGAAAGCCAGATGTCGCTTAATTTTGCGATCCATGGTCCAGGAATGGGAGTTGGACTTGAAGTGTTATAGCCGTATGGATCGTTCAGATACTCGATGACGTGAAAAGCGATCTACAGACAAAACAGGACCAAGAAATAATGTTAGTGAGTAGGTGCGTGGGATAAGCAAAGTGCAGAAGACGCACGATTCCGAAGAGGGTAGATAGGAGGATGTATAGAGGTGAGTGTAGGATGGTGAGGATGAGCGCGAGGAGCCCAGATGGTCGGAGGGCAGTGATAAGTGCCGAGCCGAGGGCAATTCCTACTATGTTCCCTTTCTGCATGAAAATTGTATCACAGTCACAGGCGTGAACTTGTGTGTTTTGCAAGTGTTTAACAACGGGCACAAAAAAGTGCTCAAGGCGCGACGTCGGTGGTGAGTTGAAGGCAGATCAGAGCAAGTATTGTAAGAGAGGACACGGGCGAGGATGATTCCCAGACTCTTGTATGTTAGGAACACAATATTATTCTGCGACTCTCGGCGATCTCACGACTCGGGTGTGAAGAAAGTTTTCGTAAGAATAGAACCAGCTGGCGTGAGGTGGGAGAGATGAGTGCTACAAGATGTCCAGAGGCGTTGCCAGTTGACCGTCTAGCTTCCTTTTAACCTGCACGGGCAGCATCATGAGTCCAATTCACACGAGGGGCCGATATAATATTAATGTCTCTATTGTCTCTGTTTTGAATTCAGCAGCAGATCGTTCCGCCATCACGAGATCGCTCTATCTAAATTGGTTATGTAATACTTGACCGAATTTATCAATATACCTTACCAATTCAGTTGACTGAAAATGGACTTACTTATTTCAGCTCAAGAGGTTTCGGTTTGTGCCTTGCCCTGACTACATACGACTTTTTACACAAACCGCCTTTGCCGCTATGCTCCATCGGACGCTTGTGTCAGTTTCCCATCTATTTTCGCATCTCGTGAGGCCTTATGGCGTGGGCTCGCTTCCGAATGGAACCGCCAAGTTTGAACGGTCGGAAGAACCTTGCATTCAAACCGTGGCATCCATTCCTGTTGGGTAAGGGCACTTCGCCCGTGATCAGCAAAGGAAGATCGTCTTCTGCATGCGCAAATCATGGATTCCCCATATCATACCCTCCGCGAAGCTTCATATAGATGTCCGAACACTTCGGCTTACGAGACCACCGAAGATCAGCTCTCCTTGACCCCTCGGCTGTGGGGTGACACCGACTCCACCGGTCAGGCTGATCAGAATATAACAAGCTTGTTGGATGATACATAACGTCGATTCTGCATTACATAAGCTCTTCATGATCTTTCCATGAATCCCCCGCCCGACGTGTAGTAATCACCGCGGATTTCATTTGGCGTGACCGGCTTTCTTTTTGGCTGACCTAGATAGGTCACCGTCCTCTGGTTAATTAATGAATAATCGATCTTACAAGGTGAAAGGTCATCACACCATCAGCCGACACGAAGGGTACCGCCTAAACTCATTAGCCCTGCCGCCAATGTTTCTCCGTAAGCAGGTCATCAGCTCCTGCATTCATCTCTGCAGGCCTTATGTATATCCTACACAGAGTTGATGGACCTTCCCCTCCTCTAGCTAAGCTCATGTGAAATAATCCGGATTGATCGCCCCCGCTTACATGACCCCATCGCCCACGCGGCATCAAACGCTTTCTTTCCGCGTCGATGGCCACCAAAATTCGGACGCTGCTGCGTTCCAAGGCTGTTCGCCGTGCCTTCATTATCCAATATAACAGGTAAATCAAAAAAATCAATCTTCCCTCCTTTCACTTCAACTTGCCTCGTCATCTGCCGTGCCTCCCAGCTTACTGGATCATACATCAGGGGTTGGTTCCCCCCCCCCCTCTAGGCCGTTGCGATTAATAAAATAAGCAGACCATCGTGACCCATGCACAAGAACTACATAAATATTATCGTTAGGCGGGAATCTCGGAAGAGAGGCAGATGTACACAAATCGCTTATGTTCACACGCTTTACATGGTCGTTTGCTTCTTTCGGCCACTCTCGTTGCCGTTCAATCATTTCTCTTCACTCTGATCATAATTTCCGCCCCTGAACTTCGAGGATGAAGAAGCCAGACGTGCCACATATGCATGGGAGCGTTAAACCCTTCGTGACGCTCGCAAACCCGAGAGCCACCCCTAGCTTTGTGATCTCGGTCTTCACAATTGAAGAGTTGGACTTGAGGTGATCAAACCCCCGTACACAAACACAAATGTTCTCCGACCCGGTTATGATCATCAGTACGCCGGATGACCTGATGTCTGATGCGTGTGGGGGATCATATTATGCTGACGGAGTGGGCACCGACGATAGCAGATTTAATTGCGTAATACAGATCCCGAAATGTCGGACCACCACGCGAACTAGGCCCAATGATTAACGTGATAGAGGATGAGCCAGACCACAGGCGCCGAACGGGTGTCAAGTTTGAACACTTGACATTCAGAAACGAAGCCACTACCTTCGAAGTGGCGGTGGGGAGGGGGGTAGCTCGCCTGACGCGGCGTTGCTTGCATGCATGCCCCGCGCAGCGGCTCGGCCCATAGTAGCTTCGAAGTTTCAGCGCATTGAAGATAGACCAAAGTAACGTAGAGCTGAATAGGTACGCGGCTTAGTCTCTCGTAAACAGTTCAGATATTGCACACAACTACCTGGATAAATACACGTTTTCCAGAACAGGTGAAACAGAGCGGAACGGATCCCAGCACGAATCCAGGTATAAGAAAGGAGCTGTACTTACAGTCAACATATCTCTAGCGCACCATATGGGAGAGCTGGGCTATAAAATCGAGGGAAGCTCCCGCCAGTGGCATAATTCAATGTTAGGGGCGAAAAATACACGAGTGGACCCGATCGGCTTACCATTAAATTTGCTCCTTGCCCAACAATGGGGGCGACATAAGATGTTCCTGGACATGTAAGGATGTCAGCATGGGTCTCAATGTGAGAGGGGAAATAATACTTACGGCCAAACCTGTTGGGTGGACACCATGCGAGCCAACTGGCCGGCAGCAAAGTTCCACCCTGACAGGAAAGGGGCATGGACAACAGGCGCAAGCGCCTGTGGGAACACGTCCATACCGACGCCACGAGGGCGTCCCGCCAAAGTGTCCCTCTCCCACTCTCCCACTCTCTCGAAATAAATGGGACATACTGCTGCGTGAACGAATATTGCTTGCTAGCGAAAATTAAATCATGATACGTACTATCCGTATGACGGAAGTGATGTGTTCGCCACTTTTGTTGGAAGTATGGCCCAGGAATAGAGTATAACGCTGATCGATGAGCTACACAAGAAGGGAAAGATCCAAGACGAAATACAGAGAAAGAAGCCTGGCGACGGGGTACTCCGAAGTGGATTGACCAAAAGGCTGAGAGCTTCGAGGGAAACGACCCGGGGCGAGAGCATACGTCGAGACGAGGTGATAGAAACATGTTGGAGCAGAAAGGAAGGCGGGTCGTTCTTCCCCACTGTGCGTCCATTGTGGATAGAAAGGGTGTGCATGGGTTCCCGTACTCAATTTTCCTCCGCTTTGTTGCCCACTCCCCTCTGTCGATGGAACCTGCAAGGCGCGTCAAATCCATAAGGTATACAACGGGTCGTCGAAGTCCATGGGCAGCCCGAACAGTCATAGGGGGAAAGCAGGATGTGTAGACCCGATAATCAGTAAGACTGATCCCTGAGCAGTTCGCCAAAGCAGACACGGCCATGTTGAGAGCTGTGATCATAGGTCGATTGGATAGACGAAGGGGGCATCTCTAATAAGTGGAAAATCGACAGCCTAGATATAACCCACAGCTTCAGGATCCGGTAGGGTTGACGTCGCAAAAGGTTTGGAGTGGCTACCAACGAGGCATTGGTGGTCCAAGGATGGTGAAGTCACGCGACGACTAGAGTTCCGGGAGCAAGGGCGCAGGGAAAAACGAACTAGCAGATGTGTCAGAACTTGGAGCGAGAGCGAGCCGTGCTCTGCGATTGCGCATCCATCGGATTGAAAGGGTTCCATGCTTCCTTGCGCTCGACTCAGTTGGTTGTTGTTCGCTTCAATCCACAAGGCGCGTGGGTCACAGGTCGATGAGAAGGCCAAGGTGCCAAAGTGTAGTGAGCGAAGATCGGCAGCCTAGAGATTATCCGAAACATCAGAGTTGTTGTGTAATCGGCAGGGGACCTGTACTTTAAGGATGGCGGATGGTTCGAATGGCAGCATGAGTGACGCGCTAAGGGTGTCAAGTGAAGGGGTAAAAGATCGATTGGGGAACGTTAACGTGGACAACAAGTGGGACATCGAGGGCCTTGATCCATGGAGCGAAAGAGGTTCGGAATGACTGCAGACCAGGCTTCGAGAGACAATCCAAGGACGGCAAAGGCGAGTAGCGACTGGGGGGCCCGAAAGCGAGGGGGGAGAAGAAGGAACTGGTGGGGGGAACTAATGCTCAGACCACGCTTTTATGCCTCTCAGATCTATTCAATCCTCTCCTTGTGATGATCACGCTCCGGACTGCTGCAAGAATGAATAAAACCTTCCAAATCAAGCCACTTGCTTCGTCGAAATTCCAACCAGCGATATGATCCCGGAATACGTAGTTAATATTTCACAAATTTCGAAATTTCTCGTCAGCCAGTGTACCGTTTAGCATTGTTCAACCGCGAAACGGCTCCCAAAACGTCCCGCTACAATATCCGTGAGCAGGAGATTAGGGGACGATACAAGACGATGCCAGGAGGGGGAGAGAAGGCCCGTTGGGAAGACATATTCACTCTTTGGCTAGGAAGATGGCTAGGAAGGATCCAGTCATCAAGGAAATGCATCAGCATATTAGCCAGATTGGTTATTCATAGATTATTATCCGAATTCACTCTATATAGAAGAATTTGCGCACCCCTGACAAGGCCATGCCCCAAAACCGTTGCTGCACTGGGGTACAAAGTTTGCCGCACGCCTGAATACACCAGGACCTTCGCTGAAGAGTGTAACGATGCACGGTGTCGCCGACGCCACTTCGTGGCAAAGGAAATTCCAGTCAACGTCGACGCTTCCACAAATGTGACATGGACCCTTCAGCTTGAGCGTGTAGAAATGCTCATACGAAGCTGAGCGATTGGAAGAGGACGGGCCAGATGAGCTCACGATCTGGTGTTTGAACGTCGCGGAAAAATTAGGAAACCAAGCCCATCTCATCAGGAATGCCACGCAAAAAACGGAGGTCTGTAACAAAGATTACCTTAGTATTAGCTGGTGTTGATCAATGTGGAAGGTTCGTTCCCACCGGCTGCCCTGCGATGAATGGATGGAAATTGGACCCACACTCCGGCAAGCACAAGCACAAGGTGCAACTGCACCAGACGTCACAAAGCACAGACAAAACACGCCAATGGCAAGCCGCACTAAGCAATTGCAGAAGTATACGTCTAGCTTGGGGAGAGCTTTGAAATCTTGTGACAAGCGCTTCCAGTCCCCTAGGTGGCGAGATGGTTTCTCGGCTTATATACGTTGAATCCATAACTGATAGAGTTACCCCCCGTTATCCGCTTAATGTTAGCGTCCACGAACAGCTTCTATTCATTACAGGATGGGTGGTGGAACGCCGACGTAAGTCTCATCATTAACCTTTTCCCTGCGTCTGCCACATGAAGTTGACAGTTTTAGGGACACATTTGCTGCAGAGAACACCCCCCTTTCGTACATGCGTCTTCACGTGTCGAATATTAGACTTGGACCCGTCTACCGATGGGCTGCACCACCTAGTCGAACGAAGCCACCCCTTCGACCCGTTACTGCCACGCGATCGAACATTGGGGTGAAGGCTGCCTGACACCGTAGTCTGCGAATGTAAACGCCACTGATGCTCTCAAGGAATGATGCGGCGATTTCTGACCGCCTGAAAAATTTCAATAGACATCAGGCCAATATGGTGGTTGATGAAGGTCTAGTCTTTGTTTTCACCGGAATGGAGAGACACTCTGCCCCTCCATTCCGTTGAACAACGGAGACATTGACCTTCAGGTCACATAACAGACTGATGGACATCGAACCCACCCGGCTTGTCCTAAAAATCGAAAGGCCCGCGGAGCCCTGGATCATGCGCAGCGAATGAATCGTCGTGGTGCCCGCTATTAGCATAGGGGTGCTAGTCAGTTCAGCAAGAGCGACTCAAATCATGTTCCGACTCTGAACGCTGACGCATATTCCCCGATTACGAGCATAAACATCGTGCACACCTCGCAAGGTAATCCTTCTATTCTGAGACACGAGATTACTTACCGCCACCAGGTCTGAGAAAGTCTCTAGAACCAGGATGTCGTCCCAACCATCAGCTGGAGTATGGCGATTTCGCATAGAGACACCGACTCAATTTCCGATCATCTGAAAGGATGGACAAGGCAAAGTCCTGTGCTGCGAGAGGAATGGGACCTGGAAACCAGGTGAGAGAGAGATGAATTTGGCGACCCAGTACTCTAAATGGAAGTTCCTTCCACACTCGCTTACTTCCATTTGCCTTCATCTCGAGCGTTGGAGGACTACAGCATGTTGGTTTTCCTGCTAACGACAGCCATATGGACTGCTGTAGCTGTTGTTTCGTCTCCTCACCTCGGGGGTGACATCCCGGAGGAAGCGAAAGCTTGTTGAGGTGCATCCCCAATTCCGTGATCTCACCGAAACGGTACCCCCCACTCCCGTGTGTGAGGCCAATGGTTCCAGAGCATTATCCTGGCCAGGCGCTTCTACCGGTAGGAGACGGATATACCCCGACACTGCCCGAACTCCCGCGACCGGTTCACGTAGGAACAATCTTGTCTATTCCCTAACCGAACCACCCGTACCGCTCCGTACGAGTGAGTGCTCTCCTTGTCGTGTTCACCATGCGAGAATGAACGTGTGCAATTCGGGTGAACACTTGATTTGTTGAGCTTTGATTCAATTCAGGACACCCGGCAGCTAGCGTGCGAGGCAGAAATTTTACTTGAACCGATTTTTCCGTGGGAAGGGGGGAACAGGACCTAGAGCAGAGGTGTATGATGCGGAAATGGAGGGACTAGCGCAAGGATCAGCTAACCTCAAGATCTGGCTCGACGAGCACTACCAAAAAGGAGACAAACTCACCCTCTCAATCTTCTCCGATAACACTGGAGCACTCCAGCGCATAATGGCCACGTCCCCAGGACTGGACATCCAACAATCACTCCGATTCCGCAACAACATCTCTCTCCTTCTTTCAGAACGCCCCCTCTGCGACGTAATTATAAAGTGGGTCCCAGGACACGAAGATATCAAAGGGAACGAACGGGCAGACACCCTAGCCAAAGAAGGCTCCAACCTGCCGTCCGAATACCCGTACAGAACCTCAGCGGCATTCATGAGAAACCTAAACAAACGCCAATATAAGGACGAATGGATCTCTCGCTGGAACACTGACCCTATACAACAAAAGCCATCAGAATACCGAAGCTGTAACCGCATAGAACCGCAACTGCAACCAACAAAGCAGTTTAAGTCCCACTCCCGCAAATCCTTCAGCCGCCTAGTACAGCTTCGCACCGGCCATGCGTTCATCGGACAATTCTACAAACGCTTCCTACCAGAAGAGAACCCCAGTTGCACATGCGGAGAACCCGTAGAAACGCGAGAACACATACTTCTCGAATGTCCCAAGCACGAACACCACCGAAACTTGCTCCCAGACGATGAAGGTAAACTGATCCTTGCCGACCGCCTGGTGGATGAGAAAGGAATAGAGAGGGTAGCAGGATTTCTGTCAGCGAGTGGAGCATACGAGAAAGAGAGAAGGACAGAATAGACACACCCCAAGATATGACACCGCTGGAAGGTGAAGAAATTCAACACTGCTAGCGCTATAGACTTATGTCATGAATTCAACTGAGGTAAACCAGGTGACTGGACAAATGACATAAAATGGACAGGCCTGGTATCGAACCCAGGACCTCTAGCGTGCATCCATACACTACTCGCCCGTTATGCCAGGGAGGTCACTCCATCCCTCATCAGCAAAAGTCTGTTATGCTCCAGAGCATCAAGAGTGGCTGGAGCATGTGGAAGACAAAACAGCAGATTGGGCACTCCTGGAGCCAATAGTGTTCTCCTGGGAGGGGGTTCAGGAGCAGCTGGGAGTGGTGAGGAGTATGTAATGTGCCAGGAGCAGTGGGAGGAAAATTTTTGGTCTCTAAAAAGTTGAAAAAAAAAATTCAGGAACTATAGTGCCTTTAAAGTGCTTTCAGGACATATAATTATTTGCAAAATTGAGGAAGAAATGATGGAGAAAAATGGAAAATACTTTCAGAGACCTGAGAAATAATGAGAACTGAATTGATGGGAAAGTCTGAAAATTGAATAGGAAAGTGAGGGGAAGCCTTGTAAGCATTGTTATTTTCTGCTGTTCTGATTTTTCCTGATTGTTCTTGGTCTCACTCCCAGCTGCTCCTGGACCCTCCCAGGAGCTTTCAGGAGCTTCCAGGAGTATTGAGGAGCAGCTGGGAATGAGACCAAGAAGAATCAGGAAAAATCAGAACAGCAGAAAATAACAATGCTACAAGGCTTCCCCTCACTTTCCTATTCAATTTTCAGACTTTCCCATCAATTCAGTTCTTGGGTCTCCAAAAGTATTTTCCATTAGCTGCTCCTGGACCCTCCCAGGAGCTTCCAGGAGTATCCAGGAGTATCCAGTAGCAGCTGGGAGTGAGACCAAGAACAATCAGGAAAAATTAGAACAGCAGAAAATAACAATGCTACAAGGCTTCCCCTCACTTCCCTATTCAATTTTCAGACTTTCCCATCAATTCAGTTCTCATTATTTCTTGGGTCTCCGAAAGTATTTTCCATTTTTCTCCATCATTTCTTCCTCAATTTTGCAAATAATTATATATCCTGAAAGCACTTCAAAGGCACTACAGTTCCTGAATTTTTTTTTATTTTTTCCCTAATTATTTTTTTCAACTTTTTAGAAGTCCCTATTTTTCAAATTTTCCTCATTTCCCTCTATATCCCCCCCCCTCATTCCCCCCTCATTCCCCCCTCATTCCCCCCTCATTCCCCCCTCATTCCCCCCCTCATTCTCCCCTCATTCTCCCCCTCATTTCCCCCTCATTTCCCCCCCTCATTCTCCCCCATTTCCCCCTCCCCCATATTCTGCCAGCCTGAAAGTGATTAAGTTGCCAGATTAATCATATATCAGGCCATAAATTTTGATTGTGTATTGGTGAGTCTCAGTGTCCTTGATATATAGTATAGTGTTTGATCTAAATGTTAAGCAGTGTCTTGTTGTGCTAGTC